TTTTTATTTAAAAAAAAACTGTCAAATCGGAGTTTGACATGTGACAGAGTCTACACAAAGCTATACATTATAATGTATATGAAGAATTGTTGATCAGACCAACCTAGTGATTAGATTAAGAATACAGAAACCATAGTTATTAAAATTGGACCGGACCATCCGGTTCGGACCGAGAACCACCGAATTGGATAATGGTCCGGTCCAAGTTTATTAGTTAGACAATTTTTTATACATCATTGTGCACATCATTCGAGTTGGCAACATATGATTACTGGAAAGTCTGGTTTTATTTTTTATTTAAAAAAAAAACTGTCAAATCGGAGTTTGACATGTGACAGAGTCTACACAAAGCTATACATTATAATGTATATGAAGAATTGTTGATCAGACCAACCTAGTGATTAGATTAAGAATACAGAAACCATAGTTATTAAAATTGGACCGGACCATCCGGTTCGGACCGAGAACCACCGAATTGGATAATGGTCCGGTCCAAGTTTATTAGTTAGACAAGCAAAAAAAGGAACCGGTCAAGAACCGGGTTGAACCGTTCAAAATCCACTTGAACCGGATGGGTTTAAGAGGTAACAGATCCAATTCAATGTTTGAACCAGTTGGTCACCAAAGTAAATTGTAATTTTTATTTATTTATTTATTTATCAAATTGGAAAGAAGCTAATTCGAACTTAGGCCTCTTCCTTGGAATGTCATGTCCTTCACCATTTTGGATAGTGCCGTCTTTTAGTCTATAATGTGTAGCAAATATATATATTTCAATTTACAAATTACAATGTGAAATCCCTTTTTCCAACTTGCAAACAGGATGATTCGAACATTGGGTTTTTACATGAAAATTTTCGTCCTTCACCAGCTAGGAAGCTGGTGAATAATTCGAACTTAGGCCTCTTCCTTGGAATGTCATGTCCTTCACCATTTTGGATAGTGCCGTCTTTTAGTCTATAATGTGTAGCAAATATATATATTTCAATTTACAAATTACAATGTGAAATCCCTTTTTCCAACTTGCAAACAGGATGATTCGAACATTGGGTTTTTACATGAAAATTTTCGTCCTTCACCAGCTAGGAAGCTGGTGAACCTCCAAGTGACAAGCAAGCCAAATATATATATCTAGATTTAGCAAATTTTTTTTTTCAAAAATATATTTTAATTAAAATTATGATCTAACAATGACCCACTGGTTCAATCACTGATTCAACCACTGACCTGGTGACCCGATGACTTTCTCGGGTCGACCATCAGGTCGAGTCTAATAAATATGACATAAACTAAAACAGTAGTTGGACCAGAGAATGCGATTGAATTATAAGATTGCAATTATAAGATTGCATTATATATCACCATTTTATACATAAATTAAGCACTCGTTTGGCCCCATTATTTGGTATTATAATTTTTGGAATAGTGTTTTTTGGAGAATGTGATTGAAAAAGAAGGAAAAGTTTTTTATTTACGTGTAATATTATTTTATTAAAGATTGGTTGGTTGAAAATAAAAGAGAAAAAAATTGTAAC